TTTTGCCTTTTCTTGCTGTAGGTAAATTACGAATTTTACCAATTTTTTTGTGTAAGACCCAGGGAAACTAGGAAGTATTCACTAAGAAAGTGTGTGGCTATATTATGAATATATTCACATGGAAAGAATGGATTTGTCATTTTGAGAAATAAATGCTTATATTTTACTCTGTTTTAGAAGAAGTATGATCATCAAGCCAAATCAACAGTTGTAGGATAATTTGTACATAACGAAGGTATGGCAGATCCGGAGAATTTGTAATGGGAATAGAGTAACTACCCTTCTTTAATATACACTGGTTAAGAGATGTGCATGCTGAAGATGAAAAGCTAGGTTACATGACCAATAAAGCTGAAATGTGAGCAAGAAACAGATAAAAGACAAGTATGTATCTGATAAACATGTGAATGTTTATACTTAATATCTTTATATTTTATTAATTACTTATTTTGCTGACAAAATTAGTCTTTAGTCTATTTGGATCACAGATCTTTTTCTTTATTCTAATTAGATACTTGGAATACAGTGACTACTGCTGAATGAGACACCAGAGTTTTTATAACTGAACTTATATTAGATACCTGGAACAGTCTTAGTGTTTCTTCTTGGGTGCCAAATGGGAGAGGTGACAAAGTTGAACTTCAAAAGGTTCTTAAAAGGGCAGGTTTGAGTAGTCCTCACCTAGTGAGGATAAACTTATTCCCTTCAGAAAATGAACCTTTCAGCTGCCCTTCTAGAATACTGCAACCAAATGGATAGTATAAAAAGTTGTTCTTTAAAAAAAAAACCCCCACAAACAAACACAAACAAACCAGCAATGACACCTTCCCCCCTCCACCCCCCCCAAATCCAAACTACCAGAAAACCTCCCTACCAACCAACAACAGCAAAAAACCCTCCCACACAGCATATAGTACATTAATAGAAGCAAGCTGTGGACTTTGAGTAGTTTATGCTTATGTCTTACCGGTTTGAGGAAGATGGCAGTGCTGTGAACAACTGTCAGTTTTATAAATTCCTTTGTCTCTGCTTTTCAGGGGACATTGTGTGTGAAGGGGGTGGGAGTGTTAATTTTGTTATGAAAATTTTCACGGAGGAGCTAACTTTGCTCTATGTAGTAGATCTGTTTTAATCTGAGATTTAGCATGCTGGCTTTCTTTTCAGTACAGCCCGTCAGCTGAGATTCTCTGCTTTTCTTTGGCATCATCCAATTCATCTTCCAAAGCTGTGCTTTTAGCTGTCTTGGCATTTGAGAACTTTTTCCAGCTCTGCCACAAGGCTGACTGGCTGAGAGCATTCATGATGTTATTTCCTAATACAGAACTGGGGTGAAAACATTGTTACTCATGTTTTTAATCTTAAGGCGAAGTGACACCTATGCAAACACCAAAGCAACTTTTGATTTTAGCAAACGTAATTTTTTGTTTTGCATTGGCAACTTCAGGGACTTTCTAGTATGTACCTAAGTAATAAATCTTTGAGGAAACCTCAGTCTTACTCTTTATTCAGACAGGTAAGCTTTTATAGCTCAGTATTTTTTCCAACAATGGTAGATATTGTAGGAATAAATCTTTATGGCTTACTGTGTTATGGGTTTATATATTCTAGTTGCTGACTTTTTATATCTTCAGATAGGTGAACACTTAGCATCTATGTCAAACAGCAGAGCTGACCTACTACTTTTGTATTTTTATATTCAGTACAACAGATTTGGAGAATTGGTGCCCAATATTTTGGACTGTCATGTTTCTGGCATCCCTTTTCAACTGATGTGTCGAGGCTATTCTTTCAGCATAGCCTAACTACTTCTGTCCTCATGCTTTGCATAATCTCTTGTGTCTGTTTAAGTGGTATGGAAGCAATTAGTTTATTACTCTTGGGAACTTCCTGAATAACAAGTAAGGTAACACAATATCTAAAGGGATGGGTTATAACAGAAATTCATTTGACCCATGTACTGGGACCAGTGGAACTTTCACTGTTGCTTGGGGTGTTAAGTGTTTGACCATTGGACTTATATGGAAGATTTTACAGTAGTATGATTTGTCAGATACCAGTGAGCAGGGAATTCCAATTTGATCTTGCAATTCCAGGAAGCAAAATGGCATTTAGGCACTTTTCTGTCAAATAAATCCATGCAGCATTTCTTGTGTTAATTTACTGCTACTTCTGTCTTTTTAAGTGGGCACCTGTCTATGTCAGCTTTATCTGTGCTCCCTGCAAAATACTGTATATACACCTGTGTTACTTTGGAAAGCTTGGGAAAAAGAACTGTTAAAATATAATTTCTCCTTTGAAGAACCTATATTTCTAACTGGTTGAATGTTTTACATTTGAGATAGAAAACTCATAATTATTGTGAAGTGAATTTACTTTCTGGTTTAGTAGCTGTTACTTTTACAATGCTGTTTTACAATCGGCAACAATTTAATCTCTGATTAATACACATACTGGCATCCACATAATTATTGTAACAAAGCAAATACTTCTGCACCCTTCATGTTCATGGGCTGATTGCACTGTCATTAAGAAAATGTCTGTTTTAATAGGTGCTGATCATTGTCTTTCTTTAGGAATGAATTAATATTTCCTTTTTTAAAGATACTGAAGATTTATAGTATACAAAAAATATTGGATAACCTATAATAACATGATTTTGCTTTTTCTTCCCAGGTATGAATGCTGCTGTGCGCGCAGTAGTACGCATGGGAATCTATGTAAAAGCCAAAGTGTATTTTGTTTATGAGGTTAGTTTTTGTTTTGTTCCTTCTGTACTTGTCTTCTGACTATACTTGAGTTTTTGTGGAAACCTCATGTAGAGTGAATAGTATAAATTGAAAAATGTTGTAGATGTCATTCCCTTTCATCATATCAATGTTTTATTTCATATTTTTTATTTTTGTGGCAAGTACTTTTCACAAGGTATATGCTAAAACTATTTCATTTTAAAGTAGTGCCACCAGAAGCTTGAAAATACCGAGAAAAGCAGAGGTAGTTGTCACCTAGTTGACACCCATTTGTGTACTTGTTAGATGTTTGGCCCCAAATATTGTACTTTATAAATACCTTCCTAAACCTAGTTAAACTACTAATCCTTAACCCTTTGACTTTCCCCCAGTCCATTTTCCTAGGGTATGATAAGGATGTGCCATTGCCCTCATTTCACAGATTGCACAACTTGCTTTTGATCAAGAGTACTCTCAGGCTGGAGCCATCTTTCCTGTTTTACAGATTGTAACTATAGATTGTAACTGAAAAAACTCCAACAGACAAAGACCCACCAAAAAAACTGTGCCATCAGTAGTGTGTCCAGACATCAGAATTTTGTGATTGAAGCTTATGACTGCCTGTGCATGAAGATTGTGATCTTTTGTAACAATTATTTGATATGAAAAAATGATGAGACAAGTTTAATGTGAATGCTAAAATAATACTATCTGTGTATGTCTTACTGGAAGACGAAGTTATAGTTAGATGTCCACCTGAAGGACACTCAGTTTTTATAAAATTTACAAATTAAACAATATGGTAAATATATTTAGCAAGAAGTCATTCTGTTCACACTGGAATTCCTGTACAATTCCTTAGGAGTTTGAGGTGATTACAAATCATAATAAACATTTGATATGGGGCAAAACCTGGTAGGCAATATTCCTAGCCAAATGGAATTTTAGTGTTTAATATAAACATGTGAAACACTAGAATTCATGGAAGTGCTAGAAGGGTACTTTAGTGTTAGTTTTGTACCGTTTACCTGTAAAAGGTAGCTATTGATCCATTTTCTTTCTGTGTCTGCTTATTCTTATGGTTTACTTGAGATGCAAAGTATATTGAAATGCAAATAAGCAGAGCACTGTGCTCCGAAATTCTTTTGTGCTACAGCAAGTAGTTCTGAATACTTAGTGTGTGCTAATTACATGGCCGATCTCTAGAATTTGTTCAGTGTTCAGCTGTTTTGCAGGTTTTCTGAAATGGGTCAGATAGTTTTGTGAAAATAAGGAGAGTTTTTGGCTGTCTTTAAAGGGCAGAACTTGGATTATTTTTTTAAATTATCTTTAGTGTAAGAATTGCCATCTTTGTAGTTCATCTTACAGTATGTTTACTTTTGTCACCTTTTAAAAACTTTTGTATCACAGGATGTATTCAATGATAAATTTCCAAAATTTGGGAATTTCTGTTGTTTTTCTGAACTTAGAAAAATTGCACTATTTAAGTTATCATGTTCCTCTGTTAATTACTAGAGTTTGCCAGTGTGAAGTCACATATTTCTGAATGAAAATTGATTGTAAAAATCAAGTCAGTGTTGGAGTTTTGAGTTTCCGTTATATATTATCATTCTGTCTTCATTGTAATGCTGTAGTCTGGGAGAAAAATACAGATTTCACTCTTAAGTATGGGAGATAGGTCGGAAAGATATCTTTACTTCTAGATTAGTCCATCCAGTTCTATGTTTCAGGAAGTACTGAATGCTAAGCTTTTTGCCTCTCTGACTGTGTGTTATATTAAATATAAAATACGAAGTCAAATATTAAAATACGAAGTCAGTTTTCTTTCACAGTGCATATAAGTATTTCAGAGAAATACTGTTGCAAACTTTGAAACGAAACAACTATTTAATTTCAGCACTTTGAAAAAGGAAACATGCAGGTGACAAGTGTAGTGGAAGGTAAAAATCTTAGAGCAAGATTTGTCACTAGTGGTCCCCATTATAAGCCTTTGCATGATGTATAGAGATGTATTTTTGTATACACTCGGGAGTTATTTTATTTAATACTTTTAGTAAAATTCTTCTATATTACAGTTTATCAAATGCAGACTTCAGTGTGTTAAGCAATAAGAATAGTGTATTTTTATCCTACATTTTGAGAAGACATTTAACTAGACACATATATGTCAAGGTAAAGTGATACTTACATTGAAGCTGCCCTGAAAAAGTGAAGAAAATCCTGAAGTGGCAACATCTGAAAGGTGAAAAATGTTTTCTTATCTGGAGACGAAAATGGAGTTAAAGGTCTCAGCCTTTTCAAGTCTACTTTGCTGTAGTTGTCGTACAGTCTTTCTCCTGTAACTTTCTCTGTACTTTTTTGCACTTTAAAATCATCTGTCTTCTACAGCTTCGGCCAAAACTAGCTCTGTATTCAAAGTAAACCAATAAGTCTGTTATCCGTCTGTTTCCTAACTCTATTTTGCTTCATTTTGTGATGAAAGAGAGATTACTAAGATAAATACAAATTGTCAATGAATCAGATATAAGTAATTTTCTAGCCTTTTTTAAGTTTTTAAGGTTTACCAAAGCCCAAAGAAACAAACAGTTAGATGTTGGAATTCATGGGCTTTTTGGACATACTTTAGTTCCCAAAAGAAAAAAAAAAATCCCTCATATGAAAATTAAAACTATAAAATAGTTTGTATAAAACCTGTAACTTATTATATTTCTGTATAATTTATATAGTTTATATAAAAACTAGTTTTACAGCTCTAAAATAAAAAAGCTTGTATCTTAATTCATTTAAATTAGCACATTTGAAAATTTTGCTGTTGATTCATTGAAACACTGCTTATACAGTTGCTATAGTTTCATATTTTATTCAAGTTAACATCTCTTAGTATTTAATTTTAGTATATAAACAGCCTGTAATTACCCTCACTGACTAGCATCACATGATTCCTCAAATCTGCCCCAATCTGAATTAAAATGTAAATACCAATGGACTTACTTCACTCATGCTGTGAAAATCTGGGAGATGGAAGTACATGTAAAAGTACCATGCTGCTCTAGGAGGCTAGTTTAAATTTTTTCACTAATCAGAAGTGATATAAGTTGTTTTTGCTTCTTATTCTTTTTAATTGAGGATGAGAAGAAAAAGTGATGCCTCTCATTTTATGGCAATTCATTTTAGAAACTGAGGTCTTAAATATTTATACAAATAACCTACCCTTTTTCCAGGATCGAAGCACATAGTTCCCAGTGGATGCGTGCTCTTACTCCTAAGATATGGAACTTTTAGATTCTCCATCTTGATTAAGAGTCTTTTTCTCAAGAGACCAGCATTGGAAATGCAATGGTACGGCAGTCACGGATTTCTGTGAGGAAAATTTCGTGTCTTTTATGTGGTGGTTTGTGCACTCAATGATGCTAGTATTTTACATTGTCAAGTAGTAGCTAAAAAAGCTCAGTAAATAAATAACTGTTAAAGCCCCAAATGTCTCACATGTAACATCTCAGAAGATGGCATGTTCTTTTTGAAAAAGCTTTTGTTATTAGAGTTAATAGTGGAAGCAAGATTTGCTCTCTCTACTACTCTCTCCAGGAGTTACAGTGTATATGTATGTACGCTGTGAACATGAGACTCAGATTTCCTCTTGTTCATCTTTGAATATTCAGATTTTGGGTAGAGGAAGGAATAAGCATTAAATGGGTTTGATCTTCAAATACAGTGTTTGCTGTATTTTTGACAGTTTACTTTTTCCATTCTTGTCCCATGGTTTTAGCATCTTAGTGCCCAAGCTGCCCGTTTTAGAATCTAAGATTTTTTTTTTTAAATGTAAGTTGACAGGTTCCCACCCTCATTTTATTACGGTCTGTATTCACATCTGCCAGTGATTTTCAGTAACTAGACAATTGTAACAGTGTTGAACTATTTGATATAATAGTTCACATTAAATTCTACCATTAAAATGGATTGCTCAGTTCCCAAGTTAGCATCAGTATTTAAATAACTAAAATGATAAATGGAAATCATGATTATTATTAATACTTCAATTATATTTAGTAATCTTTTTTATCTATAGCTTTTCTAGAAAGCTGTTTTAATTCTATGGCTTTTGTATCTCTTAATGGTAGGGAAGAACAGCATGGAAATTCTAGCTATATTGTTCAGAGCTAGCTTACATACACTACTTGGCAAGCAGAACAGTTGAAATGGATCAGACCTGTTCCAAAAGCTCTCTGTCTTTACCTTGTGGTGAGAGGAATTGTTAATATAGCCCCTATTCTTGCTTGTCTATGCAGAGAAGGTAGAACTGATGTCCACTCCTGACCAGAATGCATGAGTTCTTCCTGCTTTAAAGATGCATGGTGTGGGAGTCGGTCATAGGTCATCCTTAGCCTAGCTATAAGTTGTTTCAAATCTTACAGATAATTTCAAATAGTTTATTGATTTGCTTTTCCCTGTGTTTTAGATTTGTTAATAAAACACAAATTTGGAATTTTCATCCACAAGTCTCATATGTATATAATTATGTATATATTTACTGTATATAATACTTTCTTGGATGTACTTTATTTTTCCTCTCAAGTGAAAATGGAAGGTCAACAATTGGAGCGAACATGTCAACTGTAAATATTTTTGTCAGCTTGTAGTGCAACTTACTATGTGTTACAAACTGATTTAGGGTGCAACATCACACTATTCTTTCAGGATTTGTTGCCTGTGAATCTTTGTGTTATTGTGGTTGCCTATAGGAACACCGATAGGAAAAGCTTTCAGTTCATAACTAAGTGATATAAGGAACACTGGATTCTTCATTTAAAAAAAAAAAAACAAACACCAAACCAGCAAACCTGTGATAAGTGAACTTAGTAATTTCTTAGCCTTCATCAAACTCAGCTGGATCCACTGGAGTGTTTCTGTCTGAAGATCTTTGCACTTTATCTGAGAAAGAGATTTTTTTTTTAAGTTGATATGTAGATTAAGCATTATTTCTTTTCCAGCTTGCTCTGATTTTGAAGGAATTGTGCAAATAATGTCTTAACTTCAAGTCATTAAGCGTATACATTAGTATACAAGACAGTATGTGTATACATTAGATAAGTATCAAAGTTACTTGGAGAGTGTACAAGATGTTGAAAAGATCTGTTGCATGACAGAAATTAGAGGCATAGTTCAGTTTCCATCTAGCTGTAGATTCTTTATTATTACTTGATCATCTTATATGTAAATCTGTTAGTCAAGTTGCACTGATCAGATGCTTTTATGCTTTCCCCTTGGAATCTGTACTAAAATACTAGAAAGCTTCATTTGAGTAACTCATACTTTTACTGAGTCCAAGTTATCTTCATATTCTTATCCTATCATGCGAGTGAGAGACTCCAAGTAAGGTACAGTATTCATATAATATATATGGCTTTTTAAACCAATTCAGGCTTAGTACATTTCCAAGGTACTGCTTGCTGGGTAAAATCTACGTATACTCTGGATTGTGTCAAAGTAAGTGTCTCCAGTTTATAGTGTCAGTCTTGCTGTCTTCTAAACTCCCTTCTGTTTCTAGTTCCACCCGATTTATTATTGAGAACCCTAAAACTAAATATGTACAGTCTTGCAAGAACTGCATACAGAAGAAAGGTTAACTAATTGTTCCTTGCATGATGATCCATATGTACACATAATCTAAAAATGGAGACATAAACAGTCACTTTTTTTGTTTAGCTTTTTTGTTTGTTTTCTTTAACTTAGCATGTTTTTATCCATTTGGATTTAAATAAATGTCAAAAAGTTGAATGGTCACTCCAGTTTTATTCTGGTGTCTGTATCAGGTTTTTTTGGGTTAGAACTTTGCTGTATTTTCCTTTTTTAATCAGTGTTCACAATATCACCTAATGGAAAAGAATCTGTAGTTGTCACTATCTTTCTGCTGGTGTTTATGCAGAGTTAATAAAGCCAGGTATAACAAAATCCTTCAGCTGCTCACTGAATAGTTTTCCTTCTGTCAATTAAGTGTAGTTCTTTCCATGTTACAGCATGCATTGATTTCTGAAGACCATTTGAGTTAAGATATTGAGGATTTCTTAAATGCATCACTAAAAATTTGGTTTTTTCTACTAAATTTCTTTCATCTATTTATTGTGTGACTGCCTCCAAAACCAAATGAAGAAATCAGGTGACATAATCTTTATTTATGAAAAATTTTTGGTTGTTGCTCTTTGCTTTGTTTTGCTTATACCTACCCAGGGGGAAAAAGTGTATAAAGTGTGAACAAAGGTAGATTTTTTTTTTTTTCTAAGATCGTGACCTTAGGCTGAGGTTATGTTTTTAGGAAGCACATTTTATAATGCTTCTCAAAGTTCTTCTGTCTTTGTAGTTTTTCAAAAATAACTGAATATTTATTCCTAAGAAAGGAGAAATACATTGCCATTCTAGTTCATAAGCTGTGTAACCTGTGCAAAGTATTACTTTATCTTGAAGTCCTCTTTGGAACCGATCTTTTAGGAAGAGGATTTGTTTGGCTTTTTTTTCCCCCCAATGTGATACCTGCTTGAATGTTGTTTCATTTAAAGTAAATTTTTTATTTTTAGTCAGTATCTTTAATTCCTTAAAGGTGTGTTAAAATATACAAGATAAGTATTACTGCAGTGGAAATATTACACAATTTTTCAAATCAGACTTCTGAAATACTTTTTCTCTTTCAGGGTTACCAGGGAATGGTTGATGGTGGTGATAATATTGTAGAAGTGTCATGGGAAAGTGTTTCAAGTATCCTGCAAGTGGTAAGTGTTGGGGGGTGGGCGTGGGACCCAAACCCTCTCTCTTTAAACAGGGAACCAAAAGTCTAGATCCAGGCAACCGCTGTAATTATGGATTCGAATTCTGTGATGCCTGAGTGACCAGCACATACAACTTTTAGCAGAGTCTGATTTCTACAGTACAGATGTTTGACACTTTCTAAAGATCTTTGTGTGGTCTTGTATTTAGTGCACAGAAATAATCTTGAAAACCTTTGTTGGTTTTAGAAGCCTTCTATTAGCCTTTTTAATTTTAAAGGTTTTTTTAGGTTTTTATTAGCCTTCTAAAGCCATATTGACAAGCCTGTATTTAATAAAAAAGACATTATAGGGCCAAAACATGAAACAACTGTGTTTTGTAAGGCAAGTGTTTTCTTAGGAAACCCTGTTGGCTTTCTATGTAAGTGGATTTAGAATTATAGTAATGGATGTAACTACAATACAGTTCTCCAGAGCTCACATACTACCAATGACTTTGTACGTTTGTATTACAATGTTCTGCAAGGTGGCCATTTGGATCTCCCTACACTCTTCCTCAGCATGGTAATGTTGTTACCTCTTCCAGAGCAGATGCTATGTTTGGTGAAGAGGCCTTACTGCTTGCCAAACTTTCTGAAAACTACCTCCAGGTGAAGCATGGGTTTCTTTGGAGCTTTCTGTAAAGCTAATAAAATAAACATAAAGCAGTTAGCAGAGAGAAAAATAGATTTTTTTAAAAAAACAAAACAAAAAAACCAAAAGAACCCAACAAACAACCTTGGGATACTATGAGATATTTTGTCCACTTATGGTTGGTTTTTTGATTGGTGTTTTTTTTTTTAATCCCTTGTCTATCTTGTAGAATCTGTAATCATAGAATCACAGAATATCTCAAGTTGGAAGACACTCATAAGGATCATAGATGCCAACTCCCTGCTCCTTGCGGGGAGCTACCTAAAACTAAACCATATGACTTAGAGCATCATCCAGACGCATCTTATGATTAGGAGAAAATTGAGATGTCATGGCAAAGCCACACAAGAGCATAGGCAGGAGCAGGATGTAGGCATCCTATACACGTATATAACATACATGCTATAGGAAAAACACCTTTCTGAGCTTGACTGCTAGGAATTCAACAGACCAACAGTGAAGCTGAGGATGCATCTTAAAGTATGCGCTTAGCTGTTTAGATAAAAGATTTTTCAGCCCAACTTATATTTGTTTAATCAGAACAAGTTGTAGTATGTTGTTTCAAATACATAGTCTCTTTTCCACTTACTACTGTGTTTTTTAAGTATGAAAATATCTAGTTTAGATTTGTTTTTTAGTTCTGATTGTTATTTTTAGAACATCTCCATGTGTACACTTCTACTTTTTTGTCTGTGGAGAAAGCTGAACTGCTTCTATTCCACTTTTTTTTTTCTTCCACTAGCAGTCATTGTATATTGCAATGTAGATGGTAAAATAGTGCCCAGGACTGGCTTGAGAGCTGAAACACCTATTAATATGGCAAATCATACCAGTATAGCCTCTACAGATTTGAAGCTAAAATTTAGATTGTCATAATTTATAAGTTAAAGTGAAGGAAACGTTTATGTGAAAGTGAGGTAATTGTCTCCAGATTTGTATGCAGGAGGGGAAAAAAACACAAAACCAATCAAACAAACCCAAAACAAACCAACCAACCAAAGTTTTTGCAGTCTTAATTAACTTTACTTTTTACTGTGACGATAAGGCAAAAATGAGACTTCTCTTGAGTGGTTGAACAATATAAACACACAAGATGCCTAGCAATTTTCAGTGACAGGGTGCTTCAGTCTTTTTTTGAAAATAATGAGTTCCATTTCTGGAGGAAGTTCTTTAAATCATATTAGTAAATACAACAGACAATGCTAAATTTTCTGTTTTATTAATTAGTCTGATCTATAAGGCACTACATGTGTGCAGTTATTTCTATAATTCTGTGGAATGACAATAAATGTTAATTCTGAGCTTTAGTGACATGTCTCTTCTGTTATTATTTATATATTTCATATTAAGGGAAAAAATGTCATGCTTTGAAGCAAATTCATCTACATACTTAACTACTTAGTATAGTATCACTTTTACTGTTGTCATCACATGTAACTAACAGTTAGATACTTTATTGGAATGCTACTGAAATTAATCCCAAATCATTTAACATTTTCCTTCACGAGTAGCTTCTTCATCAGTCATTTCTGAGTGTGGGTTTTTTTCCCTTTTAACTGGTCTGTATATCCACTCTTGCGAACGTAATTTCACACACGTTTGGTAATTCTTTGTTTTTCATTACTTTTTACTCACTGTAAAATTAAAGATGGAGTTTATGCTAAAAAAAAAAATTCATCATTAATCCAGCTTTAAAAAATCCACTAAAATACTGGATTATAAATTAAAACTTTTATACTTCATTTTTCTAGGGAGGTACAGTTATTGGTAGTGCACGCTGCAAATCTTTTCGTACCCGGGAGGGCCGCCTGCAAGCAGCCTACAACTTGGTTCAGAGAGGAATCACTAATCTTTGTGTGATTGGTGGAGACGGTAGCTTAACTGGTGCCAATTTGTTCCGTGAAGAATGGAGTGGGCTTCTAGAAGAACTGGCACAGAACGGTAAATTTGTATTTAAACCCTCTTGACTTCTAGTCTAATCTCCAGGGAAGTTATGTACCCTAATTACACATACACAAGCTATATCCAGAGGATATTTCTTAAGCTCAAAAACCAAATACATACATTCTAGGAAATTATGTGGTTCTTCATAAAGTAATAATTTTGAATTCTGTACATCCTCTTATATACCATAAAGGTTCAAAAAGGCCAAATAAGTTACTGGGCAACAGTCTGTGTGGCTTTTTTCCCCCCATCATGAATCATTTTCAGAGTCTGAACTTTGAACCTTCTGCTTGAAAAGCCCTTTGCCTTCATATCCAAACACAGATGGTAATTCCTTTCTTACAACAAGCTAAACACTTGGTTGTTAATTAAATTACAATGCTTTCCTGCCTATTATCACTATTTGTTTAAGATCAGAACATTAAGTGGATATTGTTAGAGTGCATCCAGCCCAGTACTTGTCTTTGATAGCATCCAAGAGAACATATAGGGAAGAGTAAAAGAACAGAACAAGGCTAAATAATGCTGTATTGATGCTATATATTATTCTTTATATATAAATACTCTGATAGGTTCCATCCATTTTTGTCTTCAGGACTTCCTGAACCAGATCCTGTTAGCAGTCCTTCACAAGTTTCTCTTCCATGAATGTATACAGTCTCCTTGAAAGCATGCAGATTTTTTCTGAAAACATTGTGTAGCAAATTCTACAGCTTCATTGAATGATGAAGATTGTGAAGAATGTTCTCCTGTTAAGTTTGGTCTTGTTGGCTTCTAGTATCGTTTGATGTCCTATAACTTTTGTGTTAGAACAGTGAATGATCAATCCTGCTTCCTGTCTGCATGCTACAGCTTTTTTTTTTTTTAAGACAGATTTTACAACTGTCTTATTTTTCCCTTCATCATCTCTTTTTCTAGATGGAAGAGTTCTAGTTTGCTTAGTTGTTCCTCATATGTAAGTTCTATACCTTTGATCATCTTTGTTGCCCTTCTCTGAACCTTTTCCAGTTCTACCATGTCCTTTTTGAGGTGGGGAGGACCACAACTGCACCCAGTATTCAAGATGAGGGCAAACCGTGGATCTACACAGTAGTATAATGATCTTTGTTTTGTTCGTTATTCTTTTCCTAATATTTTCTAATATTTTGGGGTTTTTTTTGACTGCTGTTGAGCATTGAAGCTGATTTATTAATGAAAACAGCATTATTATATTGTTATGCTGAAAATAGCATTATTTTGTTTGTGATGTTAGTTTACATTTTTCATGTGTATTAGTTTACATTTATCTACAGTGAATTCCATCTGATACTTTACTGCTCACTGTGTCTTGCTAGTTGTCTTCATTTCTTCTCAGACACTCCATACCTTTAGAACCCAGATAATTCAGTTTGATCAGTAAACTTTGGCGCCTTACTGCTCATTCCCTTTTCAAGGTTATTGCTGAGTATGTTGAACAGCAGAGATCCGTGTAGAACTCAATTGGTTACCTTCCTCAGATACAAGAACCTGCATTTACTACTGCCCTCTGTTTCTTATTTTTACCCTCTTTCACATTATTTATTCTATGCAAAAGCCTTCTCTCTTATGCTGTGACTACTTAGTTTCCTCAAAATCCTTTGGCGACAGGCCTTGTCAATGGCTTTTTGGAAATCTAAGTAGAGTGTGTCAACCAGATATCCCTTATTCATGTGATTATTAAGTTGTCTTTGGAACTCTGGAAAAGGTTTGTAATGCATGGTATACATAGAAAACATTTTGATTCTTCTTCAGAATGCTGTATTTATCTTTATGGACATTAGTTATATTTTTCATTATAGTTTCTACTATTTTCTCTAGTATAGACGTTAAACACACTGATATATAGTTCTTGAATCCCATATTAGAAATTTGTCATTATATTTACTATCATCCCATCCACAGATACTAAGGTAGTTTCAAATGCTTAAGCAGCTGAGGTATTTCATCCCTGAGATCCTTTAGAACTCTTGGATGATTCAGCATTTTCACTGATGTCTTGGGAGACACAGGTTAAGACTTAGAATAAGAGCTTTTCTATTCTATTGGCTTATTAATCATGAAATCAGAGCCTTTCAGTGTTGCAGAAGAGAAGTCTTCAAAAGTTTAGTAATGTTTTTTGATTGTTTGCATATCCCCATAATCACATCCAGTTTGCATCCTTTTACTTTTTCATTGCATGTCATACACTGAGACTACAATTTGAATGCTATTGTTTAAGTCCAAACCATAAATTTAAGGTTGGTTACGAAACTTGATAATCTGTTGACACTTAAATGGACTGAAAAGCTCTTGTTTCCTTCCTTACTGTAAAGGAGTTCTATGCAGGATTCTTTTGGTTGTTTGATTGGCTTTTGTTTGTAGTTTTGACTAACCTTGTTACTTAAAATATCTAAACATAATTTAACATTTGAATATATTTAATTTATGAAAGTAGAGTGCCCAAGCAATCTGTCTAAAATGTTGTTTTCTTTTTTAAAAACAATCTTACAGCTCTTTCTCTGGACACTTCTTTACAGGAAAGATTGATGAAGAGGCTGTTAAGAAATATGCTTACCTTAACATTGTGGGAATGGTTGGATCCATAGACAATGACTTCTGTGGCACTGATATGACCATAGGTACTGACTCAGCCTTGCACAGAATCATTGAAGTTGTGGATGCCATCATGACCACTGCTCAAAGGTAAATTGTGCATATTATAGAAAACTGTAACAAATACACAGTTGCTTATGCTTCAAGTCTTAAGTTTCTTATTGCCATACAATAGTGGAGGATATAAGTTAATTTTAAACCGAAGTTGGGTAACTGATATTTGTAATATTTCTAGAGTGGGAATAAAAGCTCTTTTTGGCTGCATCTTTCAAGTGTCTTTGGTTTCTTTTTTTCTTAGTAACTGCTTTTCCATAATTCCTGTCATGGCAGCACTTCAGGCATCTGATTGTAGAGGCTGCATCAGCTTTAGGGGCAGGCTTTGCCTTTTTTAATGTTTTCAGTCTTTGCCAGACATACTTATCTAGATAAGATCCAGACACACCTTGAATAGTACAAAGCAACATCTGTTTGTATATAAGCTTTCCCTGGGTAAAATTTAAGCCATTAAATTATTTTTTTAAATAATATCATTACAATTCTTAACTATGGGTCTGCACCATTTATGTTTCTAGTAAATGTTCACCTCTTCTGTCCTAACTGCCCTTACATGTTTTAGAAGAAAGTGGCAGTGAAAATGAATTACAGGTTGGAAGATATGTAATTTTAAATACATTGTTTATACAGCCTTCTGTTTTGCTCAGGAATTCTGTGTTTGGTAAGCATGGTAAACACAGGCTATTTCTTGATACCAGGTTCTGATTTCAAGAATTTGGACTGGATTTTTGAGTTGCAGTATTACAGTTAATTTGTTTTCTTATTTTTACAGCCATCAGAGGACATTTGTTCTGGAGGTTATGGGGAGACACTGTGGGTATGTATTGTCTTCAACAGTCTGTGTCTTATACAGATATAATGATGAAAGGTCAAGAGATCTGAACCTTAAATGTCTAATCATTTGTTATGTTTATTAGGTATCTAGCTCTTGTTAGTGCCTTAGCCTGTGGTGCAGATTGGGTATTTATTCCTGAATACCCACCAGAAGAAGGATGGGAAGATTCAATGTGTGTTAAGCTTTCAGAGGTAATCTATTACTATGTTTGGGATTCCCTGATGTCTTTGAAGATGTTTGTTTGAAAACAGTGACTTAAAAATGCGATCAGGACTTTGAACAAGTCTTTGCTTCTGGTGTCACAAATAGTGCTCTTTGATCTTGAACAGTTCTTTTCCTGCATTCTGGATTGTTTTGAAGAATTATGTGATATACTGTAGTGATTACATAAAACTATTCCTATATAAGCAGTGTATGTGTCTTTCCTCATTAATTTAATATAAGACATTTCACTTCATCAGTTAAAAGACCTGTATGAAGATAAAATATGTGAGAACTCTGATCAAGTGTAAGAAATATTTCCTCAAATCCTAGCAGCTTAATATATAGCAATTGATTATAAAATTGTGCTGTAAATTTCTTTTTATTATATGGATGTGCTTTTATTTTTATTAGAATCGTGCACGAAAGAAAAGACTGAATATTATTATTGTAGCTGAAGGAGCTATTGATTGTCACAACAAACCTATAACGTCAGAGAAGGTTAAGGATGTAAGTGTCAACATCCCTATGATACACTTTCTGTCTTGTTCTTAAGATGGGGCTTGTTACTAACAATAACATTTCTGTAAAGTAAATCTGTTCCTGTAAAGTAGCTTATCACACAGTTTGCTGGTTATATCTTATATTCGTGCTTTATTATCTGAATCCATAGTCCATTAAAGTGGGAATTATTTCAGTAGCTGTTAATTAGAACCTTTTCTCCTTGTAATATAAGACAACAGTCCAAAACACATTCTTCGTGGGTGCCTTAATTGATAGAGTCTGAAATCAGCTCAAATCAGCAATTATAATGCTATTTTACTTAATATTTATTGTAAAATTTTAATAATGGTCTATCTCACAGCAAAATAATACTGTCTATTTTGGGCAAAGTCTTGTTGCTTTGCCAAAAATTTCATTGGTGTCTAAGATTAAGAAAAACTTTTGAGCTGAAATTACTCTGCCTTTCTTGGAAAGGGTCCCTTAAGAAAAGAAACTGAAAAATAGTCATTGGCAGGAAGGAGCTATGACACTTTGACTTTACCTGTGGTTTATCTGTCCTGTGACTTCGAAGTTTTGTTTTCCACAGCTGTCAGTTTGAGAGTAATCTTTGACTCTTCATTCAGAATTGCAGTTTTACAAAGTAAAATTTAGCACCAGTGCTAAGTGTATATACAGCAGATAGCTATTATGCATTTATGGAAGAAACATTACTTGCTTGCTACAAATTTCAGCCAGTTAAAACATTCGAAAACTATAAATACCAAGATTAGAAGATTTGTAAATAACTTCTGAATTTTTTTCTGCTTTATGGTGTCCTTTCCTTATTCCTAACTTTACATGCTCACTGAAGATGTATTAATAAAACATGTCTTTCTGTGACTTTAGATTTGATATGTGACAGAGGAAATGGAAAGAAAGACTGACTGAATGAAATGGTTTCATTACTATAATTTTTACTGCAAGTTTTAAAAACCTTGTCAGTTAAGATTAAAAGTCATCTTCACTGAAGTTTTACTTGGAATATTTCGGAATGTGTAATCTTGCACATAGACGAAACATGGAGTGAATAAAACACTGTAACTGAACTTCTTTTGGGTATTATAATATTTAGACCTGTTGTTATAAGGCTGAGGACTGTACATAATGAAGCCATTGTAACTGTAGTTAAAGCATTGCAGTCTAAGCCACTGTTTTGCCATTATTTAATAAAGCTTTCCTTTAGATTCGGAACCCAGAGTTTAGTTCTAGGTTAGGAATAAACTAAAGACTGGCTTAACTTTTGTAGTATTTTCATTACTGTTGACATACTAATGTATACTATATGTAGAATTTTATTATTCCACTAGCACATAAAGCAGAGTAATGCTAACATGTATATAAAATAATGATGGTAATAAAACCACTGTATTTTGAAATTCTTTGCAGCTTGTGGTTCAGCGGCTCGGTTTTGATACCCGAGTAACTATCTTGGGTCATGTGCAAAGAGGTGGAACCCCTTCAGCTTTTGACAGAATTTTGGTGAGTGAACCTAAAATAGTTACTTGTGGCACTACATAGTACAACTACATTTTGATTATGTCTTTGGGCGTAGGATGGTTCTTGACCTGATTAACTTGACAAATTCAATTATTATCTCACATTAACTGTCTGAATAGCTCAAACTTAAAATAATGAAGCACTTCATGTAAAGGAATCTGTATAAGGATTAAAAAGCAAAGCTGTAAGAACAATTGTCCATACTTCAGGGTATTAAGCGGCCTGCGACATTTTCGATTGCCAAGCAATAATTGATTCCAGCTTGATTTACAGAGAAATCATGACCATTTCTGTGACTTGAAGCCTTGTGCTTTTAAATACTTGCTTGAACATTCAAACGTTATCTATTTTCAGGCAAGTCGTATGGGTGTGGAAGCTGTGCTTGCCCTTTTAGAAGCTACTCCAGCTACTCCTGCTTGTGTCGTGTCTCTGTCTGGAAACCAGGCTGTCCGTCTGCCTTTGATGGAGTGTGTCCAGATGGTGAGTTTCTGGCAAAAAGCCAACTTATAGTTATTCATTAACTACAACAGACCACTGTGTACAGTAATTGTCTGTTGTCATTAAAACACTGATGGGAGTGTGCAGCACCTCCCCACGTTTGGGAATTATGAACTTCATATGTGTTCTCTATGTGTTATTACTTATTTGCAAACTACCAACAAACAGGAAATACATATATTTTTATTTTGTTCTAAAATTTCATCTCAGATAATCTCTTTTAATTGCTACAACAAATTCTTCAGATGCTTGCATCCATTTGCACATCATATACAACAGTCAGGTTTCTGCACTGAAACTGTTAAACTGAAAAAAGAAAGCGTAAAATAGATACATTGATTTTTATTTTTTTTTTGTGTCCCAGGAAGGGTTTAGATGTCTGTTTCTACTTTGTTCTTCTCCTGTCCACTGTAATTTTTGCTACAATAAGATGTAGTTCATCATTTAATGAAATGTCAGTATTTCTTTTTTCACTTTGGAAAGCTATTTCAGAATGATCTATTTACTGCAATATAATAAATAATCAACTTCCTGTGTTTTTTAAACATATTGAGTAATGAACTTATTTTTTTAAGACTCAAGAAGTCCAGAAAGCCATGGATGAGGGAAGATTTGTTGAGGCTGTGAGGCTTCGTGGAAGGTATGACCAGTAACTTGTATCAATTTATTTACTCTAGAATTGCTTTGCTGTTCTACTGGCACCTGACATTTTATTTTAAATAATTTAATATCCATGTGTTTTTATGTATTTGAGAATAATAGAGAAGACAGAAGAAGAGTTGCTTAAGTAGAATAATTGAAATTCTTATCTGCATAAAAAAAAATGCAAAACAAAGAAAACTGTAGTTCAGTTCTGTGTCAGAACTAGTGACTGATACTAGGCTAACTAGTCATAAAGAAAAGACCTACTGTGTTGTATGAGCTGACTGGTAGCAACCGTATGTTTGCTCAAGATACTGAGGCCAATCCTGTGTGCTTGTTTCTAAGTAGATGGTAGTCCTCCAACAGTAATACTGGAGGGAGACATTCTGCACTCTTATGTGTGAACAGAGCATTTTCTGTTTCAAGTCATTTGATAATAAAATGCTTTGTCCCTAATCTATAAAACTACCCTGCCAGTTTTATAGTTATTTTATATTTTCTCACTATTATCTTAAAGGATTGACTATTTTCCAGTGTTCTCTCATTTCCAGTTTTTATCATATTTTGCATTTGTTATAACTTCGGTGCTAATATTACATACTTGGTTTTAAAAGTTTCTAAAAAATTCAAGTGTTTCTTTAAAATAACTGACTTGAAAAATTTAATATTTTATTTATCTTATTTATTTAGGAGCTTTGAAAACAACCTTAACACTTACAAATTACTGTCGCACAAAAAACCAGATGCCGAGCTTCCGAAGGTAAGAGGTTTTTCTGAGCATGTCTGCTTTTTGAGTATCTTAACAAATAGTGTTTTTCTTCTCTCCCCCTCATCCTGCCTTAATACTTTCTTCAGACCTATACCACAGGATATTTTATAGAATTAGTTAAATATTATAATGGCAGAAAGATGCTTGCAACTCACAACTTTGTTCTAATAATAACGTAACTTTTTTTTTTGAAGTGAAATACTATTCTAACTAGAAAATTTCCTGCTAGGCAGTTTCTGTCTTGGATATATGTCTGGTCCCAATTGCTATAGTGTCTGGTCCTAATAGTTACTGTTACACCCTCTTTTCCTTGACATGGAGGGTAGGAAAGGTGATGTAATCATGTTTAAGAGTTTAGAAATCTTGGGAGAAAGAAGGAAGATTCAATATAAAAGAATCTAGTCCTTCCTTTTGAAGGGCAAAACCACTCAAGAACAGGGGAAGTCCAGGAATCCATGGGATGGAATAGTGAAGACAAATGCATCTAATAAGTCACTGTGCATAATACAGCAGTGAACATTTAGTTCTTCTTTTCTTTGTAGTTTGTAGGTTCTGTGTAAGAAGTAGTTGGATTTATTAGGAAGCAGACACTAAACGTTGTGTGCAAACAAATTTCAGACAGGATTTTTTTGTTTTCCTTAATGGTTTACTGAATAATTCTGGTTTTGACCATAGTTGGTGATTATGTCACCTCACTGGTTAATTCCTTTTTTACTTGTGGTTTGTGATGATTTGTTACCTTATTTGCATGATTATGCTACTGCTATGGTTTTTTATTTTTTTAATTCCAATTAAATATTTGTGTAATGATTAATAGTATCTTCTCAGTATTATTAAGGAGAAAAATTGCATTGAAAATAGGAAGAGTTCATTTGAATAGCTGTCATCTGTTTGGAAATTCTGCAGATGGCAAGTAACATAATCACAACTAGCCAGTTTAGTTTACCAAAATTACTGTGTAATACGTTATGGAAAACTTCACACAGTAAAGGAAACGATTACAAATGAAAAGTCATAGTAGAAGCTTTCAAGTAGACTATGATAAGATAACTAGTTTAAATTATGCTTTTACTTTTGGCTCAACATAAGTAAAAGTAAGTGTATAGACCAAAGTTATTTCAAATATATCTGCCAAAATATGTTGGGTTAGTTGTTTGTTTGGGTTTTTTCCCCCTGAAAAATAAGGACCTAAATTTGATCTTCAAGAGATCAAAGAATTCAGGATTGTTATGGTGGATATTCAACATTTGCTTTGCCAGTTCAGGCATTTCTTTGGTAGTTGTTTTGGGTTTTTTTATATACCGATGCAAATTTAGCACTGTTAGCATTGGGCTTTTGTATGTTGTTTTAAAATAGTTTTGCCATAACTTTTTGTGATGGATGGCATTAGAAGGAAATGTAGGCCGCTTATAATTATTAGCTACTTGGATTTGACCACACAAACCAAATCTGTGTGCTTCAATGAAAGGGGGTTAGATGGAAATTAAAAAGTAGATGAAATGTGCACGTCACAGGAATTGAGGAAGAGGCTAAGCTGATCAGAGCACTAGAGCCTACTGAATGATCTGCTTCAGCAGTGTTGCTGTACTCGGATGTTTTGCTGCTTGTGTCTCCTTTGTGTTTTTCTACAATTCTTTGATTATGCCAGAGCTAAAAAAAGAAACCACATACATTCTGGTTTGGGTGTCTCCCTTTTTATTGTAAGGGATTCCATGATCACTACTTAACAACTGTTCTGTTTTCTTTGTTTTGTATTCCCATCTTCAGGATAAAGCTAATAACTTCTAGCTCTTCCACAGTACCAAATTGTTGCAATTCTGTCATTGTCAATAGTTATAAAAAATTTAAGGTCATCCAGCTGACCTAAAGCATGATGAATTTTTGTGCATAAGCTCAGGCAGTCAAGTTTTCTTGCATTTTGCTTACATAGTTTGCTATCATTTAAATTCTGTTTGCTAAGTTCATACAGAGTAGTTAAAATTTGCCAAAGGTCAGGCATGTAAATTTTTAATTCTTATATTTTGATCTCAGTATTAATTTCAAAGCTGTAAAAATAAAACAAAGTTAATATATTGCAGTGCCTTATTCATTTTTTGGTGATGGATTATATTTTTATTTGTTGTAAATCAACATACTGATGTCAATGAAATTGTATTGATTTATACTAGCTGACTGTTTCTTAATCAAAGACAGTGGCCCATGATTTATCTGCATATAAGCCTTCCATTTCAAGGAATATTTCATGCACAGAAGATCTGCGTTTTATACCTTGCAGTTAAAATTTAATCCAAAGGTGCTTACTGGCATTTTACATGCAATAGCACTCTTGCTTTGTTTACTCTTACAGTGCACATTTATAAGTGACTTTCTGTTATATTTTTCTTTTTAATGCAAGTATTCAAGTGTTTTCCTCTGGGAAAGAATCCATGATCTGAATGATACTGGATTTATCAGTACAAAGTAGTAATTCCATTGAAGAAAGTGTTCTTAATCTGAAAAAAGTTGTGGTTTTAGAGTTGGGTCTGTTGTAACAACACAGAAGTTCTCAATAGTATTTTGTAGCTAGATTATGTGATTTGGCCACTTGTGTTGTTCAGTCCGTAATGCTTACATCCATGTAGTTGTAGTTGTTTTATCTAGAGTACAATTGATAACAAAGAAATATAAATGGGGGCTAAATGCATAGATATGGAATACACATTATACACCAAAATATTTATTATTTCACATTGTTTTAAATAGACCCTTCTTTCTTACATTGCCTGTGGTTTAAATTACAAATGTATATTTGATATCTCATACTATTGCATTTGAGTAGATTAGCTGCTTACCTGGGATACTCATTAAAATTGGGGAGGCACTGTATATAAGCATAGTTGCTTTGAGTCTTTAGGAAATGCTTTAAAAACTACCATAACCTGAAAATGTATGGTAATGTGAAAGACGCTGAATGCTCCTGTGTACTACTATATCGTCAGCTGCTTTAAAAACCTGGCCGATACTTTAATTTAAAAGTTGTGGTCTATTCTGCTTTGTGTGGTACTGATGATATACATCTAACTGCTATGGTGCTAGAATCAGTTACTGCTCTTTTCTTGGCTATTTGGGGTGTTTCTTCAAAAAAATACTGCTTTGATAACATGAAACTGATTGAATAATGCAGGGTATTTTATGTTTCTTGAACCTAGCTGAGCTAGAATGTAAAAACCTGAATAACTTAACCTGCAAACCAAATGAAAATGTGAAGAAGTCTTATTTAAACATAAACATACTTTTTTTTTTTAAAATTGTTTCTATGTGATATTCTGCAAATAGGGAAATAGGTGTATGTGTCTTCTAGTTACCTTTAAATTTTGGATGGTTTTAGGGGCTTTGAAATTTCCTTTCCTACATTCCAATACTTGGCAATTGTATATGGTGGACAAATTAACCATGGTGGAGAAATTACAGTGCTTATTAAATACTATTTTTCTCTTGCAGACTAATTTTAATGTGGCAGTTTTAAATGTTGGTGCCCCTGCAGCTGGAATGAATGCTGCAGTGAGGGCTGCAGTGAGAGTTGGCATAACTGAAGGCCATAAAATGTTTGCTGTCATTGATGGATTTGAAGGTTTTGCTAGAGGGAAGGTCAGTATTACATGTGTACATTACATACTACTATGTACCCTATCCCACACCTTTGTTTATGTTCTGTCATAACTGTTGTGGGAACTGATTCTTTAAGTTCTTTCATTTCATAAAGGTATATAAAACCCAAATTGTAACTGTATTCCTCAACTATTCAAGTCTATAGATTCATTTATCTTAAGTATTGCTAATCACATGCTGCAGAACTACAAAATTAGTTCAGATTAATCCTACCTTCAAATTTGGTCAATGTTTAGCTTGTGGTAGATTCTCCACAGAATAATAGAAGAATCACTGATTCTGTGCGATGGGTTGTTGCATCCGTATTCCTTTGCTGTAAGAAACTTTGCAGTGGTGCTTGTTGAGGGAGGAAGCTTACCCCCCCACACTCCACCCCCTGCACTGGTGAGTTAGATTCTTTTGTTCCCCTGTTTTAAATGTCAAGCTTCAGTTGGTATGTGGAGGAGAAACTGGATGAGACTTAAGATTTCTACACCTAGCTGGAGCCATAGATCCCAAAACTAGCTTCAAAGACCTAGTTTTAGATTTTTGTTTCACATTCAGTAGGAGAGGATGTGAAAGTAGGATCATGATATGAAACAAAGAGGCAGGGTTCATTATGGTCTGGAGGAAGAAAGAACAAATACGAGTGGAAAGAGGCTGGTAAGAATTCAAGAGAAATTAAGTTAACCTCTTGATGCTGTTTTTCTTTCTTTGCCGAGTTCATTTTTGGTGTTGTCTGTGCCCAACAACTTGTTTCAACAGCTTTACATTAAGTAGTACTTGGTGTTTGCTGCATGTCAAAAGAAGTAATTGGGTAATTACTTAACAGAATCTCCTTTTTTACTTTTATTCCAAGATAAAGGAAATCAGCTGGGGAGATGTTGGAGGCTGGACTGGTCAAGGAGGATCAATTCTTGGTACAAAACGGTAACATCAATATTTTGCCAACTGATACGATGAATTCTAGTGTTTTATAAAACCAGAGTATGATGCTATGCTCTCTTTCTTCCACAGAATGTTTTAAGTCCTCAATTATTTTTTTTTAAATCATTATGTTCCAACTTGGGTATCATAATAGTACTGTACCAGCTCTGAAGAGAGAATGAAAATGGGAGTCAGGACCTCACCTTAAAAATTTCCTGGGGTCCTTACACTTAAAAGGCTTGCAAACCTGTAGTTTCTTTACAGTTGACATGTTTCCTTATTGGTTGTCAGGAAGAATTATTTGTATGAATAAATATGTAAACCAAAAAATATTGCATTGCCTACTCAGTTTACTGTTTCAGCTTAGTAATTAGTTCTTACTGCTGCAGAGTCTGTAAATATTTTTTTTTTTCACTTTTCTTTTGGTATAATAATTTTTAGTACTCTTCCTGCAAAATATTTGGAGAAGATTGCTGACCAGATGCGCACTAACAACATTAACGCCCTTATGGTTATTGGTGGATTTGAGGTACATTGAAATGTCTAATTATGTCTAAGTGGAGTAGAATTCCTAATAAAATGAATAGACTATTTTAATTTTTACTCAGTCTTCATGTAAAGTGGATTTGGGTATAACTGTATTTGATATACAACACAAATAGTGTTTAGGATCAGAAGTATTGTCAATCACTGATTCTGTGGAAAGTTGACATTCAAGACAGTGACTATTAACTGCAAAACAGGATGTGCTAAATGGATAAATAAGGTGAGATAGCATGATAGGATTTTTGTATTAGAAAAAAATAATTACTAACTTCAGTAGTGCAAGTTTCAGTCTGTACTGTATCAGTACTTAGAACATACTTGCAGAAGTTCACCTTTAGTAGAAATTGCAGTGTGGTCCCTTATTTAAGCCACTCTTTCTCAAATAGTGCATTTCAAAATCTGTAATTGATCTAGAGAAGTATTTTCTTTTTTCTGTATTTTGTGTTAATTTTATTTTACCAAGATAATAAATTTCTGAAATCTTGATTCAGAAAAGTATTTTGCCAGCTCTTCCCAGAGGAAAAACATGCTTATTGCTTCTTGATAAGGAATAAATCATCCATTTTTTTCCAACCTGTTAGGCATGGCCCTAGTTCAGGAATATGAAAATTTTTAAATGAGTACCTGAAGATTGGGGAACTAGTTTGCAGTATGTTTGTGTTGTACAAAGCACTTGGTTATATCTAAATTTTATATATTCCATTGAAAATGAATGTTCTATTTATTGTTTGTTTTCAAGTGTATACCTGTTTTTAATGCTTTCTTTTTTGTGTGTGTTAGATTTTAGTGGTTCCTTAATGCTTTGACTTGCTGAAGTGTGCTGTGGTAGAAATGGCTCCCCCTGTGGCCCTTTCCATTTTATCACTTCAATTTTGCCCTTATTTTATTCATCCTAATTTTTCACCCAATGCCTGTACCCAACAGGCATACCTCGGACTTCTGGAATTGTCAGCTGCCCGAGAGAAATATGACGAATTCTGTGTTCCAATGGTTATGGTTCCTGCAACTGTATCCAACAATGTACCGGGTTCAGATTTCAGCATTGGTGCAGATACTGCTCTGAACACTATAACTGATGTAAGTCTATTCTGGTGTGTGCGCTTGCTAACAAAACAGTTCTGGTTAAAACCGACTAAATTGGCTAGAACTGGGTATTTTTATAGACCAGAACTTTGGAAATGTGCTCTGGAAAAGGGTCCAGTTACTTGATATAGCCATATTCATGATACCTATTTAAAAAAGAGAGGGTTTAGGATCCCAAATGCTTCCATTAGGTTTCCTCTGAAACTACAATGACCTGTAAGTTTCTAAACTACAAAATAAGATGGCATATGTCTATTGTATATGGAAGAAAGAAACCTAAAGCTAAGAGTTGATGATCATTTGATGCACTATAGAGGAAAAGATCCCCAGTATACGTATAGTGTATTGGTATACCTAGCTGTAACAAATGCTAAGCGAATGTTGTTTTGTTCAGAAAGAGATCCTTATTTATGTAGCATCTTTATTCCTATAATAGAGATTGTAAGATCCATATTTCTCTAATAATAGGAATTACATGTATTCTACTATGTAACAGATTTAACAAGAAGAGTTGAGACATATTATGAAGTATTTCTTTAAAAATCAAATCCAGTAATACAATATAAATTAAAAATGGATTGATTAATACTAAATTCAGTTGGACAGAAAGCAACATTGTACAAATTAAATTCAGTCACGCATATTTACAGTTCATCTAAATCACTTAAGAAGTATTAATCCATCACACCTCAGCTAAGAGCAGCAATTCCGTTTCTATATATTCTGACATAATTTTGTATGTGCAACAATAGCAGTAATATTACACTTCAATTTTTTTCTTTTCAGCATAATCTGCAGACAGATACATGTTGCAAATACAGATGCAGAGTGTGCATAGTTTGTTTAAAACACAGCAAAAGGCTAATAAAGCATTTGTCTTCAAAAGTGAATTTACCTTTTCACTTGCAAAGAAGAAACAGAACTATTTCATAACTTAGTGAACTACAATGAAGTACCACGTTATATTACAAGATCTACTTTCTGTTTTTTGTCTCCAGCCATGCTGGAGCCAGAATGTAGAATTTTTCAGTGATTGTACATATTGAGCTACATTTTAAGAAGTGAAAAATAATGAGCATAATACTCCTGTAAAGTGAGAAAAGAATTTCAAGTTGCTTTTGAAAATTAAATGTCAGTTCTTCTATCACTTAGATTTATTTCAAGATTCTGATCATGCTATTATTTTCAGAAATTTGAAGGATTCCTCAAATGCTATAAACTTCCAAACCACTAACATAATTTTCACTTTTTTTTTTACAATGCCAACATAAATATTTTTATCTTCAGCAAAATAAATCCTTCAGGTTAGGAAATTGCAGTTTCCTTAACTGTTGCCTTAAACAAGACTGTAAGCTAACTAAAATTTATCATGAATATATTCTTTATAGACAACTTAGGTTATAAATGGTGATGTTGTTTCCAGTTCTGGTAAATAAAAATATCTCTCCAAAATAATTGATCACAAATTAAGGTGAGTAAAATGATTGTGCATAACACCTACTTTTCTTCTTTTCTTTTCTTCATAAGCTTTGTTTACCTAACTGATGTCTTTTTATAGGTTATTTCCTGTAGAAGGGATATATTGTAGTCAGTCAGTCTCTCTCTCCTTGTTGCTATGTTTTGTTTCATACTTAGGTTTCTAGATATCAGTTGCCTTCATTAGATTATAAAATGTCAGTATCCATATTTTCAACGTAGTAGTTGAAAACTTCTCAAAATGGTATTTTTTTACTAGTAGCTTCCATCTTCATTTTGCGTTTTATTTTGCCTAGATTTTTCTCTGACATAAATGTGAAATGTAATGGCTTTGCAAGATTTAGATTCAATCCAGTGGAAAATTAAATTTTGTTCTTTTCTGGGGAAGGAGCAGAGTTTTGTGTTGGGGAAACATTTCTGCTTCATATCTTAAGTTTTATGCTCTGATTGTTTGAACATGATTCACTAAAACTGATAATGAAAAATGTATCCTTTCATTCCTGTGTCATATGTTTGAATCAGGTTCAATAGTGATGATGCCCCCTATTAAATGTGATTGATAGGCTCAATACAAGCCATACAGTTGATTGTAGTAAACAAAATAGGAGATGGACATGATTGTCTATTGTATCTAGTTTATATAATTTTTATTCCTGTTGCCACAATTAAGTCAATACATGCATCATGGTTTTCAGTGCTCTAAGATTAGTACTTCTAACAAACACCAAAATGTCATCACACTTAGTTTTTCTGTGGTACTGTTCTTACTTCTGTGTTCGTGACAACTTTTAGGTTGTCACTTTAAGGTAAGTACGTTTCTGCTGGGTAATGAGGCCTTGTTAGTGTTTGGCATTACTAGACACTTGTCAATGTTAAGTTTGAAACTTGTCAAGGCATGTAAATAATACCTTGAGACGTTACAGATCAAATGAGTTAAGATGCTGCATTTAAAAAGAAAAGCAATGAAAACCAGACCATCAGATACATAACTTCTGAATGTGAGATTAGGCAAGAGTGTGCTTTTCCCGAAGTCATAGACAGTGGATGGTACATTTCTCAAGAATTTAGATTCTATAACAGATTCTGTGACCCTCTTGAAATATTCCATTTTCTTGGTTTTGGTTTTAAATTACAGACTTGTAATCAGTTGAATAGTAGAATTTGGTTTATCTTTTGAATAATGTTTTAAATTTATGATATGGTGTATTTTTCACTTCAGTTTTCAGAACATTAGTGAGAACAATTATCAATGAAATATTGAATATAAAATATTTGGGGAAAGCTGGATGTTTCTGTACTTGAAAAGGATATGCTTAAGGCTTATATATCTAGATATACAAAATGTTTAAGATTGCAGGATAAGAACGTGAACTTTGAGTTTCTGTGGAAAGAAGCATCAGTAAAATAACTACCATAATAAAAATATCTGTATTCTCAACTTCATGTTGCTACTCTATTAATTTCACTGGATTAGTATTTCAGATAGCAGACCTCTGGAATGTGACAACAAAGAAGTGTTAGTTTTTTTCCTACATAGCCATGAAGTATAGAAATTTGTTCTTAAATGAAAGTTGGATTACTTAATATTGATTGAAAAGAGGCTTTAGCAATACAGTTTGCAGGTGGAACTAAAAAGCAGAAACCTACTCTCTAATTAAACAGAATGAATGAAAAGTTAGACTTTCAGCTACAGAACATGGAAAGAGAGAGTGAAAAGGATGAAAATTTAATTTGAAAACAAAGCCTACTGATGGGCTAGGGGGAACTGATGGAAAGAGGAATAAACTAGAGCAAGGTATGGAAGAATATTCATTTGATTTAGGAGACACAGAAGTAAATGGGGAAATAAAAAGAAAAAGGTAACACCTAGAGATGGAGAAAAATAGAACCTGAGAAAGGAAGAGGCTGAAACTTGCTAATGTGTTTCTTTGACAGTGTACCTTTTCCTTTCACCAAAGGGAAGGGGGTACAGGTTGATCAGTTGGTTTTGTGAGGAAAAGAATAGCAAACAGCAACTGAGGAGCGAAGAAGGCTACAGCTAGATTGCCTTAATGCAATCTCCATGCACTTCCCTTAAAAAACAGACTCCTGACCCTCCCAGTGATGGTACTAGCATGTGTGGCTCCACATTAATCTGAACTAGGAAGCTGAAAATTAGCCTGGCCAAACTGGCTAACCGATTAAATTTTCATCCACTTCAGCCCTAGCAACAACTGAATGTGGAGCTAGGGTAGTAAATCCATCCCTTTTAGTAGCCATTTGCATTTAGATCAACATAAAGTCAACAAACCACAGTCATTTCTTGACTGTGTGTATTTTTATAAAGTATCCTTCATTATGGCAATACCCTTTTTAATAACACGAATACAATAAGAGTGTGAAATGATTAAACCATTTTATTTACGTAGTACAGTATCCCCATGATCTTACTGTAGCACTTATTTTTTAAAAAAAATTATAAAGCAATTATTAAAACCACCAATCACTTGTTTACCTGTTATAATTATTAAGTGACCCTTCATTGAAAGTATTTTCATATTTTGCTGCAGTGATGCAAAAATGTTGCATATAATCATCTAATGCTCATGCTTGGTGAAGGTACAGTCTTTGGATATGTTTTCTGAAATCACTTGCATCAAATAAAATGGCAATATTTAATGCAAGTAAAACATATCTTAACTGCATCTTAACATATCGTAAATACAGACTAACCAATTATGTTAGTTATTGCTCTAAATCTCCCTTCCACTTGGTTTTCCAAAAGTCTCAATATAAAATTTTTTAGAGAAACATGTATTTTGCAGATCTTCAGAAAGTCCTGTGGTTTTACTAAACCACTGTGACTTGGTGTACGTCTCTTTTTTTTCAGTAGAAATAAAAATTCGAAGCAGCCTGACTGAGCTGAATTAGGCTAGGCAATTACTGAAATTTTCTGAGTGAAATCTCATCCACTCAAAAAAAAAAAATCCATTTGTTGCTCTTCTGGCTATATTGCTTCTCAGAGCTACAGGTCTGAAAGTGCAGTCCTTTAGACTGTGTTTCAGGCATAAACTGGAAATGCATCTTAGTGCTGAGCTTAATTGAAAGTTGCACTTAAAATACATGAGTAGAGAGAGATTTCACAAAGTCACTTTGCACTTATGTACCTACTGCCCTGTGTCCTGTCCTCTCACTGAGCAGTATCTGCTCTATCTAGGACAAAAACCTAGACAGCAGAACTTTCACAGGTGGGTTTTTCCCATAATTTTCTCCTAAGTTATTGCTTAAATCAGTCACTCTCTAGATATTTGTGGAAATAGCTTGATAGCTATCTAATTGTGATCTGCAATAGTTTGCTTCTCTGAACTGATGTGAGAAATTGAAAAGATGAGACTTCTGTGAACATCAGTCCTTTCTGGGAGAAAGAGCTTAAGAAAAACGTAACTTACTATGTAATCAGGCTTTCTTGTAGAGTCATTACATAGGCAGTTTGAAAAACTGCCACACATCATGAGAGATGCTGATTAGTTTAGATTAGG